CTTGCAGAGGTAGTTTTTCTCTCAAAGAGGCATGAGAAATACCCTCAGATGCACCATTCATCTCTATGGCGACCCGTCTGGCTTGTAACCTTAGAGATATCATTGCCGACAATCGCACCTGCCCTCCATGGACACAAAGAACAATTTCCAGAGGAGGGGTAAAATCTGATTTCTCCCTTGTTCGGTGAATCCATCTCTCTGTTTTTATTCCTCCATTCTTCCTCTCTCTTTCAGTCTCCAGCCCTATCACCTCTCCTTGACCATTATCTGGCAGACAGCTCCTGCTCATTAAGGAGTTAATTTTCTTCTCTCTATCTCTGATTAGTATAGTTGAACCTAAAGCACTGTGAATTCTTTAAATTTTCCCTCCCTGTTATCAAAAAGAGAAAAAGAGGAATGGGGCATATTTAATCGTTTAAGTAGTCTTCCTGGGGAACTGCTGCTGCCGTTTCAGTTTTTTTTTCTTCCCTCTTCCCAGCAATGTAAAGAAATCCTGCCGCCCAGCTCAGTAATTCAGTTTTTAAAGCATGGAGGGGAAAAAAAAACGACTTGATGAAATTCCACTATCAGCTCCGAACCAATATGCAAAATATCTCGCTGGAAATCAGATAGCTATTATGTTTTCATTTCCACGTCGGCGTATTTGCTTAATGAAGAGGAGACAGATCAGACCGGTAGAGTCTGCAGGAGGCGATAACCGGGAACGGCTTGCAGCTATCCGCACAGAGTGACGCTCCCAGTCATAGAGAGAGAGAGATGAAGAGTGAAAGAAAGGAGAGAGTAATGGGGAAAGGAAAGAGCTTGCAAGGCGAGAGAGAGGCAGAGAAGAGGTAGAGACAGTAACGTGATGGAGGGATGTAAAAAACAGAGAAGGAAGCGTAGAGTGAGAGAAGAAGATAAGGAAATCGAGGGATGTCTTTAAAATCTGCCTCTTTGCAGTGTCCTGGGCCCATGGCTGTTTGATGTTTGACAACCTGCTGACAAATCCACGGCGAGGATCTGTCAGGCCTGTTTGAAGTGCTCCGATGCCCAGCGCACATGAATATCATCACCACACATTATCACCTTAAAATAATCAGTCATTATCATAAGTATTATAATCACTCATTCGTGTGATTTGACTGATGGAAATGAGAACAGTATCTTCCTGCGCTGTTTACTTTTTTTATTTCATTATTAACAAGCCTCGTCAAGTATAACTATATTATTTGTTCTGTGTTCGTGCTCTCAAGAGTTTTTGATTAATTCTTCTTTGATCTTACTCTTTATGTTCATGCTTTGGCAAATACAAAAGATATCGTGTAAATATACTGTGGTTCTGGCAGTGTTTTATTTACAAGCCTCTCTCTCTCTTTTAAATTTTAGTTCAGATTTTTTTTAAATGTTACACATTGTTTACTTAACTTCATGTCTTTCGAAACCTGTCTGACTTCCATCCGTTTATTGTAAAAGGAGTTATTTACAGAAGAATATCCAAGCATCACAAAAGTGAATGGTGACCATTACTGTTAGGCAATATTTTGAGTACGATTTAAATATCGGTCTGTTTTTCACATAAAACTAATGTACGGCCTCAATAAATGTCGAATATAGCGCATAGGGCATTTAGATTATTTTATGATGTTTTTATCCACTTTCATTATATGTATAAGAGCAGCATGAACATTAATCCAAACGTCTCATTTTTGGATTGCACAGAATAAGAACTGTGTCTATCTGTCTTTTATTATTATTTTTCATTGTTCTGCATTGTGACAACAAATATTCCATGTATGAGGTAAAAAATTGCATGCATAATAATTCAGCAAAAATAATCAACAAAATGCTGTCACAATACTTTTAGATGGAACATAGCATGTCACACTACTGGACATCTTTAAATATTTAATAGATACCACCCACGTACAAAAAAATGAGTTTTTGTGGCAAGCTTGCTCTGTAGCCTTCAATTGTAAATGTATGACTGTGTAAATAACAACACAACATGTATAAAAGCACAAATATTCCTTTAAAATTAGTTAATCTAACAGTTGATACTGTGGGTCCTAGACACTCCACAGTGGAAGCTGTTAATTTAGTACAATGATTAATAATATTGCATCGCTGCCTCACTTTAAGTGCCTGCTTCTAATTGTAAATGGTGTCTTGTCAGTGATGAGACACTTATGCCCTGTGCCTGAAGTTTTACTGAATGAACACAAGAGTGCTATTCACTACCTCCTTTCACACCGCATGCTGTGTTAGCAGAAACAGAGATGGCGTGAGTCTTGGCAAAGCAAGTGAGAGTCCACTCCTGTACGTCAGCGTGTCCGCAGAGGTCCTGCCAGTGCTGCGCAAGCCCTGAGGCTCCCAGCTTATCTACGGCTCCAGCGATGCTGGTGACACGAGTCTCATCCAGCCAGGTCTCTGTCTCAGCGCTCGACTGGCTCATCAGTCATTTCAGCACATTTTCAGCTGGCAGATCAATAGCTCCTTTTACCTGTCTGTATATAAACTGATTGGTCTTCTCATCAGCTGTTTCAGTTCTAAGGTCAGTTTTAAATGATACATTTGTGAAGTCTCCTTTTGATTTATGCGTGATTCTGTGTTTTCAAGAGCCCGCCGGGATCCGGTCTAACCCCTGTATCCATCTAAGTAATATTACTAAGAGTGTTTTAATGCCCTTGGCTCTGATCAATGTGTGTAGCCACTTGTGCTTGAAATTATAAGTCAGGTACCACAATACTGTCCTGAACACTCACACACACACACACAGACAGAGGCTCCCAGTTCTCCTAGAAGTATCTTTCTTCACAAGTCCCTGATTTCCCGATACAAGTGGTGTTCTTTTTTCCGCTGTGTTTGGGCTGTTTGGTAATGTGGTGATTAACGTGAGGGTGAGGAAGTTTGTTCATTTAATCAGGGCTCAGGTTTGATGTGTTGTCTCCTAGTTTAATCACTGCCGCTAAGCGCACTGGTTTGATATGGACGGGGCCGCTTAATAAAGCCCTATCTCCTCCGCCTTCATCAGCTTTCTCACTTTGTTCTGCCTGTTCGAGTGCCAGTTAGAACTCAAAAGTGTATTTCTTTCAGTTCATCATAATGGACAAAATGGGGGCTTTTACAATTTAAGGTTTAGTCCTTAAACATGGACAGAAAGCAGAAAGTAAGCATTTTTTTAATTAAACAATTTTATAATATATGTTTTACATCATTACATTTAATTATTATTTTTGCAGGTTTAAATTATATTTCAGTGCAATCTCCGATATTTATCTCGCTGTATATATCAAAAAGCACTCCCAGTTCTAAATGTTCTTGAGTGCCAGATTTTTTTTCCTCTTTTTTTTTTTCATTAAATTTATGGCAAATAAAGTTGTTTGCTGACATTTTGCCGATGTAGATTATCCCTTTTCTGTGTTCAGTTCTGTGAAAGATACATATTATTCGTCGTATAAGATGAAGAAAGAGGGTGAGCAGAAACATTTTCCGCGCCATTTGATGTCAGAAAGCAGTGATGCGGCGATTTATTCATTTAACCAGAGCAGTAATAGGAAAGAAAATCATAATTCAGACTTACATTTAAACACGAAATGTAATTGGAATTTTAAACAGAGGAGCCCCTTTGTACAATTATGATTAAAGGCAAATTAATTGTATGAAAATGTCGCCACAGATATAGAAAATTAGATCTAGCAAGGCCTGCACTACATTCTAAAAATATGGCATATGGGATCGATCTTTTATACTTTTCTCTCTCACGTCTTTTATTACTGAGGTCCAAATCGAAGTGTTAATTTTATCTGAAATTACAGTGAACCATGCAGGCGTGGAAGTCGAAATTAGCCTAAAGATGTTTCATTTACAAAGACAGAAACACTTTGTCAGGGAGCGATTGTTTCTAAGCATTATCTCCGCCTCGTTTTAATTGCTTTGGAAGTGAAATTAACAGAATTAGAAAAATTGCCTTTGCCTTTTTCTACAAGGCTCTTTATTCACGGGTATTGTTGTGTGCTTTGTATAGATTATAGGCCTCTTTGTTCTAGGAAGTGTAAATATATACGCCTCCAGTCACGGCTTTAGCTCCAAACAATCCCCTCTCTGTTCATCACAACTTAATGAAAATTAATTTACCAAAAACTGTGGTAAAATCCGATTTTCCAACCCCTGGTAATTTTGCTTTAGATGCCGATGTGTAAAATAGTGGGTGTCCTGGTTGAATTAAGCGCACTGAGAATGTGCTTTGGTGAATTTATGTGCTTCTTCTCAACACAGTAGTTTTGCTCATCTTAAACCTCATTAGAATAACAATATGGCCCGGCGACGGTTGAATTAGCATGCAAAGCACTGTGGTGTCCACTACAGCAGCCCTCGTCTACATATTGCATTATAATATTCTTGGAGAGCTCTTTTTATTGTATAGCTTGTTCTCTCTAAAATAAATTAATTTAAAACTGATTTTATGTATATATATAAAAAAAAAAAAAAGTATGTTTCACACAAGTAGTTTTATCACCAAACTTAACCTCCTGGAAAGGTTTTTTTTTAAGATCAGCTAATTAAATGTGTTTTTAAACACCAACGGTTGGTTATCTCATCATGGTTGGAAAATGTAGGGTTTTTTTGTTCAACTGCTGCCAACTGGGAATGTATTGAGTTATACAAATGAGTTAATCACCCTGTCCAGTGATTATAGCACACACACAACGTGTGCATTTACTTCCTTGTGGTCTGAAGCTCTGGGATTTCCAACCAATTAAAGCTGTAAAAGGGTTGTAAGCAAGAAGATTTGAAATGAATCAGAATTTTCTTTCTTAATCATGTACTTTATCACTTTTTATTTACAGAACACCCTACTTCCTGTAAGACATTAACAGGATATATTCGTATTATCTGAAGCCTCTCATTTGAGGCTTTGGCATGATATGGGATCTTTTAAAAGGCCTTTTAATGTCGGACGACTTTTATTTTATATCGCTCTTTTCTTTATGACCCCTCTCTCTCTCTGTTTTTCTCTGCAGGCTCTATTGGGGATCTTAATGGAGGTGAGGATCCATCTGATGATGTAAGCATGTCAGGAGAGGAGGGCGGAGCTTCAGACCAGGAGGACTCTGCAGAGTGTGACGGTTCAAGTCCACCTTCATTTACACCACTTTATAACGAAGGTGAAATGGCGCATGCTAAACCGGCTGTTGTATGAAAAGCATCAGAAGCCCAAATGTTCCCAACAGTGTGTTTATGGTCTGACATAACCTGTACTGTTTTGTGATGAAACAGTTCTAACACTGATGTCTATTGATAACAGTATTACACATCTCGCTCACGTCTGATTTTCCGTAAAATGGGTTCGTTTTGTCATGTGACTTAAAGGGATGGTTAAAGGATGCAATAAAAATGTACTCACTCTCATATTGTTCTAAACTTACTTGCCTTGTGTGTGTTTTTTTTTTTTTTTGGGTGGAGCACAAAAGGAATTTTTTTTAAGCATCTTCATACTCTTTTTTTCTATACATCAAGCTCCAAAAAGGACAAAAAAAAAGACTTTTTAAAGTCCTTTTTGGAGCTTGATGTGGTCACAATGAATTGCCATTATTTGAAAAAGCAGCCTAAGATTCTTCTAAAATATATTTTTTTATGTTTTATGGAAATGTTTTGGACTGAGAGAAGAGTGTAAATAATGACAGAACTAATAATTTATGAAATAACTTGATGAAAAGGAAACACTCACTGGATGAGGCAGAAAGCTTTCCTCTGAAGAGAGTCCATTCATAACTTAAAATTAGATTGTTTTAATACCTGGTTTAGTTTCTGGAAGTGTTATAGACATAGAAAAATTAGGTAATGAGGTAAAATTATTCAGTTTTTTCAGACATTAATGTATATGGTTTCCTTGTTGCATTTTCTGTCTGTTTTTCCAGTTCTAAGATATTTAAGTCACATTTTTAGTTAAAGGGGTCGTATGATGCTGCTAAAAAGAACATTATTTTGTGTATTTGGTGTAATGAAATGTGTTTATGCGGTTTGAAGTTAAAAAAACACATTATTTTCCACATACTGTACATTATTGTTTCTCGTCAATGCCCCGCCTTTTTTAAATGCGTCGATTTTTACAAAGCTCATCGGTCTGAAAAAGCGAGGTGTGCTGTGATTGGCCAGCTATCCAGTGCGTTGTGATTGGCCGAATACCTCAAGCGTGAGACGGAAATGTTACGCCCCTCACCATACTGTTGTATTCCCTCAGCGACCAGCACAGATCAGCTCTAGGCATGACGAAGCGGATATCGTCCTCTTTTGGAAGACCAAACAAAGTAGTTTCGCTTTCACAACGAAGCACACAGCGTCTTCAGGATATGGCGGCGGCAACAATACTACAGTGAGAATAAAAGTTACGCCTTCTTTCTTTGCGTGAACATTTGGGCGGTGTTATGCAAATCTTCCCACAGAGCGACGTAGGTATGTGGGGGCGTGTTAGAACGAGCCGTTTTAGGTAGGCGTGGCTGACTCTTAACTTTTATAAAGAATATCTCTTTGGATTTGAGACTTTAGTCTTTGCAACTTTGCAGATCTTCTTTATGCACCAAGAGCTTGTAACACTCCAGACAAGCAAGAGAAAGGAAAAATTGAAATCGCATCATATGACCCCTTTAAGATTTCTGTTTTTCCCTTTTTTTTAATCTGGAAAATTCCTGTTCTTGTGAAATTGAAGACTGAGGAGATAAGAGCCGGTTCATTGGCTGCTTTTGATAAACGCATGGGAATTCTGTCAGGTGCTAATTGTGACTAGTTTAGAGATTGCTCTGTTTTGTTTGTGCATTTAGACATATGTGACCCTGGACCACAAAACCAGTCATAAGAGTCAATTTTTCGAAATTGAGATTTATACAATCTCAATAAATAAGTTTTCCATTGATGTATGGTTTGTTAGGATAGGAAAATATTTGGCCAAGATACAACTATTTGAAAATGTGGAATCTGAGGGTGCAAAAAAATAATCAAAATACTGAGAAAATCGCCTTTAAAGTTGTCCAAATGAAGTTCTTAGCAATGCATATTACTAATCAAAAATAAAATTGATATATTTACGGTAGGAAATTTACAACATATCTTCATGGAACATGATCTTTACTTAATATCCTAATGATTTTTGGCATAAAAGAAAAATCAATAATTTTGACCCATACAATGTATTTTTGGCTATTGCTACAAATATACCCCAGCGACTTAAGACTGGTTTTGTGGTCCAGGGTCACATATGAGTATGTGGTATTCACAAGTTTGTATTCGAGGTGATATTTGTCATCCTCCTATTTTCTGGTGTGAAAAGAGGGTCTATGTTAAGGTTTTTCTTTAGCTCTTTTTTCCCTCTATCAATCTCTCGCCCCCACCCCTCGGGGCTCCACTGTTGCCCGGTGCTGCTATTATCAGCCTCTGTAAATCAGCCGTGTTTGTCGAACCTGCTCTTTCAACCTGCGATCAATACCAGGTCTTTATCAGGCCAGCAGTGGCTAATAAAGGCAAGCTCCCTTATCCACCATCTGGGAGAGAAAGAGACAGGCGATAACCAACTGATAACTGCTTCAGAAAAACACTCAACCAGTCACAGGACACACAGTGCCGATAACCACCTGTAAAACAAAAATATAAACGAAAGTACCACCTTTTAATAATCGTTAATGGCAGAGAGGCTGCTGGTTTCCATGTGAAAGGGTCAGTCTGAAGCGATCCGAAGAAAGATCTGATGAACTCCTCCTCGTCCATATCAGCAGAGAAGCTGATAAACCTTAAGTAAAGATGGCACCGTGTTCCAGAACACCTTTTGTTATCTCAAACCCAGTGAGGAGGCCTGATCCGGCTTATGGTTTTGCCGAGGCTGAAATAGTTAACTGGATGGAAACATCTCAGCTAGCCCCACTTTGGGCACCATGTTGGACTCAGAGATGATACAGTTGAGCCCTTCGTAACGTACAAGAAAAGAACTTGACCCTGCCACGATGATCTGTTTGGGAGAAAGAACTTACACAAAATTGACTAAAAAATGAGGCCAGCCAGAAAGAATGGAGCAAGTTGGGTGACTTTGCCCTCCAGGTGTGACAAAGGAAGTCGCTGTTATCAGATGAAAGGAGGTTGTTGGGTTGGGGACATGGTGTGTGGGTGTGTGTGTGTGTGTGTGTGTGTGTGTGTGTGTGTGTGTGTGTGTGTGTGTGTGTGTGTGTGTGTGTCAGTATGTGTGTGTTTGCATGTGCTGGTAGACTAAAGAGACTGTCGAGGAGCCAGGATGGTGGCAGCACCCATCCACCCCACCCTCTTTTCCTGATACCTGCCGTCTCTGCTCAGATGATATGGGAGATTATATTGATAATATTAAATGCAATAACTGTGGCTCCAGCTCCTCTCCCCACGCTGAGCGCTGCAGGATAAAATCAATGTGCCATTCAATGTGATTTATAGCTGAAAATAATAGGGCTTCTTAAGCAGGGAGGGAGGCGCGTCACAGGACGGCATACAGGACGGGATGGGCTGAGAATGGCGGTTGGGCCTGGGTGGAATTGTCGGGGTTGACGAGAAGGGCGTGTGCATGTGTGATTTATTTGATGATGAAGATCTAATCTTCAACCTGTTGCATTAATAACAGCAGCTCTAACCTGCGTCACGCAGACGGACATTTATGGCTGGTATCGATCGGCAGCTATCGCTGTTTATCGCCACGGGAATGCAAGGGTAAACATCCCCTTTGTGCACCACAGATGAGCTGTAATCGAGGTGGGGTGAAGGGGAGGGAGTTGGGGAAGGGGAGAAGGAAAAAAGTGGAGTGTGGGAGAGAAGAGGACAAGAAGTCATATCAGTTTACTCGTATACATGCAACAGTGGCACTCAACCAACCGAAAGAGAGAGAGACTGCTATCAGCAAGGTGATCGCTTTGATGAAAGAGAATAACTAATCATTGGCATCAGTGTGTGGGAGATCTGTACTGTCTTTCACACTGATGAAAAAGATTGGCCTTAATAAAATGAAGACGCTGGCCATCTGTTGGCAGGGGTTTCCAGTTCTCGCTTGGTAAATCAAAAGGGCTCGGGTGTATTGCTGAATGACACAGGCCTCTCTTTCAGCCACCTTTGATCATCAGAGCAAGACCACTGCACTTGTTGAGTATAAGAGAACTGTTCAACATAAAACATGAAAAAAGATCACACTCAGGATCCAAAAATTATTAATCATTATATGCTAAAAGTGCTAAAGTTAATTTAATAAATAACAATTAAAAATAAAAATATTGATGTTTAAAATTTTATATTATTTCATATTATATGACATAAAAATATACACTACCATTCGAAAGCTTTGGGACAATAACGTTTTTGTTTTGAAAGAAATTAATACTTATAATACTTAAAAAATACTTATTAAATTATTGAAATAAATTCAGCAAGGATGCATTGATCAAACTAATTTTAACATTGATAATAATAAGAAATGTTTCTTGAGAAACAATGAAGACTGGAGTAATGGCTTCTGAAAATTCAGCTTTGCCATCACAGGAAAAATGTATATTTAAAAATATATTAAAATAGAAAACAGTTATTTTTAAGTTGTAATTATATTTAACAGTATTTCTGTTTTATTGTATTTTTGATCAAATAAGTGCAGCCTTGATCAGCAATAAGAGAGTTCTTAAAAAAAAAATAGTTTTTTAAAAACTTACCGGCCCCCAACTTTTGAACAGATTTGTGGTATTATATGATAATAGCATATAATAACATAATGATTATAACAAATATAATGATCACTCTGATCACTCTGAAGTAGGTTAATTTGCAATAATGACTAATTGATTATTCCATTTATTTCATGTCGACTTAACAAATAACTAAATATTTTGTTTATTTTACTTGTCATTTTACAAAAACTTTTGTCTCCAGAATGCTGTGATTGACCGATCAGAACAAGTTCTTCAGATAATATAGCACAGAATTAAATTGCACAAACATAAACATTTCAGAACAGGACTAAGAAATATGTGTGATTTTTGATGTATTATTTTCATCGGCTTTCCACAGAGCCAAGAACGCACGAGTCCATTTCGGTGCCGGATGAGGGTGGGGAAGATGAGAAAGGAACGAAACGCTGTGCAGAAGATGAGGAGGAGGAAGGGGCAGATGGGGAAGGGGAACCCCAGTGGAACGGCCCAGGTCAGTCTCTATCTGTCCCTGGAGTGTTTAGCTGATGCATGAGTCACTGGCTTCTCAGGAAGGGCCAGCCGTACTCATACTGTCAGCTTGGCGGCCATGACTTTATCAAGCTTCACATTTGAAACAGAAATGAGTCAGTCTGAACTGCCTGTAAATTTTGTAGTAAGTACTGTCATTCTCGTATCTCTTTTGTGAACCTACTGTACACTTCCCAACAATTAAGGCCCCGATATACTTCAAACAAAATCGAAGAACAAACTGATGTGACATCATATCAAACAAAATCATGCCAAAACGAAGTTTGTTTTGTTTTCGTTTTGGGAGTTCGAAACGGCTTGCCAAAGCGAACTCTCCTGAAAAGTTCGCTCCAGCTGCAAAACACCTTCGTACTGCCATTGGTCTGTGATAACGTAATAGGAGGTGTGTGCTGAGGCCCCGCCTTCTTTCATGCGAAACTCTTTTCTGGCTCGTTTCATCTGTTGAGTCAGTCGAGGTAAGATCTCCATGAGTGAAAACATGAATACACTGGAGAACCGCTTTATAGTAAAAAGTGAAGTTGTGCTTCTGATGAAATGAGACACTGACACTGTTTTTCATGTTTGATACTGTAAAGCTGCCTAGTTTGAAGCAATCTATTGAATAAAATGCCATAAATATACATGACGTGACTTTACTGGAGTGCTACTTTGCAGAGCTCATACTCTAACATACCCATGTTGCTATGATCAGACGCTTTTCTCATGCTTTTTATTTAAAAAAATGCATGCTGTTTTCTCATTTTTATTGTGTTTATTTTGTTACTGAGAGGAAAGCGTGCAGCACATATTTACATATTCATCTAAACGATGCTTTCGGCAGTGTGGGCGGCGTCGGGATGTTCGCTAACAGTGTATCGCTGCTTACGTATTCGAACTTCGTTTTACGCCTAAACGAAGAACGAAAAAGAACTTTGCTGTGAGTATATCGGGCCCTTTAGTCACTTTTTCTCAGTAATGCAATGGTTTACCACAATCCTGTGACATCACACTTGTGGCACGTCTGAGAATTCAGCCAGTTCAGATAAACTTTCAATATGTATCCAATGGAGCCTCATCAAACAATGGTTTAACTGCAGGGTCAGATCACAAAGTTATCATCTAAATACTTGACTGTTAGTGTAGAAAAAACTCCAGTGCATTTATTGACCACACAATGTCTCAGAAATGTAGTAATAGTCGCTGTTAGAGTTGGGACTTGTGTTTCTCTCAGCCAGCCAGCCCTGATTGCTGTAAGATAACCAGTGCAAATGAATTCATACTAAGCTGTTTTACCATTGATCACTTTATTTTCTCTATTTGTGGTACAAAGCAGCTAACAAAACAAGAGAACATGCAGGTTATTCTTGTCGCTTAAATGTTCAGGACAGAATTTGAATTGTTATATATGTCTGTATACATGGAAATATTAATGATATATAATATCATATCATATAATATAATATAATTATAACCATGGCCATTCCTAATGGAAAAAACTAAACAAACAAAAAAAACATCTTAGACCAGCCTAAGGTGATTTGCTGGTCTTACCTGGTCTGTTGCTGGTTTTAGATGTGTTTTGGCCACTTTAGTCAGGGAAACCAGTAAACCAGCTGAAGACCAGCTTAGATTAGAGCAATTTAATTGAGCAAAGAATGGCTTAGGCTAGTTTAAACAGGTTTTCAGCACAGATTGAGGACATTAGTGGGCCTCATTCTTCGCAACAACGTTCCTAGTTGTTCCTCGACGCCAGTCACCCTGTTAAAGACTTAAAATTGCAAAAATATGATAATAAGTATGCATCAACCTCTAGGATGTTTTGTGTGTTGTATTCTTGTCCTCAAACCGGTTGTATAAATTCTAAGACATACTTAGAACTTTAAGACTTTACTGTACTCGCTGTAAAAACAAACTGGGAATCTTTAATATCAGCCTGGATAACGTAAAACAGCTTTTTCTATCATTTTTCTCCATCTTTTTCTCTCAGGACCATGCAGCTGAGCAGTACAGCTTATAGCCATAGTGGGGATCTAGTAGAGTATGACATGATTCAATATGCAAGGCATTTTCTTTATCTCGAATATATAGCCTAAATATGTGTGTCTCCCCGTGTGTATGTGTGTATTTTAATTTTTCACGTCAAGGATGTGTTTATTATCGCCCTGTTCCAGCCTGTCCTTTTAACAGTAATTGGAGTGATATTAATTGCTGTGCGGTTGCCGCTTGATGACAGCGCTGGCGATGTGAGCTCGATAGGCTTTTTTCCCCCTCGTAAACTAACTGCCAGGAGAATGAGGAAGAGGGGGAGAGCGAGAGAGAGAGAAAGAAAGAAAGAAAGAGGGGGGAGCAGGAGAGAGATAGGCTTTCTATCAGTACTGGAGCAGGCGCTGCCTTTATCACGAGCACGATTGGCAAAAGGGAAACTTTGACCAGTCTGAATTTTTCCCTTATCATCATGAACCCCCCCCTCCTCCTCCTCACACCGCCCCACATCCCACCACTGGTCTCTCCATCACCACTAACACACCCTGACGAATGCACACATGCTCTTCTTCCTTGTTTCTTGTTGTTTTGGGCCCTCAGCGTCAGGAGTGGAGTCGCAGTGTGTTTGTTCTTGCATTCGTTTGGTGTATGTCACCTCTTTTTTTTTCTATAATCCTCTCGGAACTGAACAAAAACGCTTTCATCGGGGGCTGTTTGCATTCCTCTAATTTATTACTGTAATCAGCGGAGTTCTGGTGTTGACGACCAGATTGACTTCACTCAGAGAGGACTGGAGCTTGTTTGATGATGTCACATCCTGTTTTACCTCTTTCTTTAGGGTGATGAAGGTGTAGTGGTAGCGAAACTACCCATCATTTCTGCATATTTTGCTGTCTTTATGCAGTGATTTTGTCATTCTGCACTGAATATATCTCTGAAAATGTTTTCCTATTTCTGTTTAACCTTTCGTATCTTGGCCTTATGTTTCCTTAAAGTTCTCAGCTGGAAGGTTCTCATCCAGTGTCGTTCTTATCAGTTTGTATAAAGCTTTATTGTATACGCATACACAAACATAAACATAGATAAAGAGATAGAGAGAACGTAGGCCATAAATAAACAAGTATGCTTATTTATATGTTCCTTATCAGTTTTGAAGCTGTAAAATGCACATCTTTAAGAAATGCCAGTATGCTGGGTACAATTTAGGCCCCTATTTAAAAATATATTAAAATAGAAAACAGTTATTTTTAAGTTGTAATTATATTTAACAGTATTTCTGTTTTATTGTATTTTTGATCAAATAAGTGCAGCCTTGATCAGCAATAAGAGAGTTCTTAAAAAAAAAATAGTTTTTTAAAAACTTACCGGCCCCCAACTTTTGAACAGATTTGTGGTATTATATGATAATAGCATATAATAACATAATGATTATAACAAATATAATGATCACTCTGATCACTCTGAAGTAGGTTAATTTGCAATAATGACTAATTGATTATTCCATTTATTTCATGTCGACTTAACAAATAACTAAATATTTTGTTTATTTTACTTGTCATTTTACAAAAACTTTTGTCTCCAGAATGCTGTGATTGACCGATCAGAACAAGTTCTTCAGATAATATAGCACAGAATTAAATTGCACAAACATAAACATTTCAGAACAGGACTAAGAAATATGTGTGATTTTTGATGTATTATTTTCATCGGCTTTCCACAGAGCCAAGAACGCACGAGTCCATTTCGGTGCCGGATGAGGGTGGGGAAGATGAGAAAGGAACGAAACGCTGTGCAGAAGATGAGGAGGAGGAAGGGGCAGATGGGGAAGGGGAACCCCAGTGGAACGGCCCAGGTCAGTCTCTATCTGTCCCTGGAGTGTTTAGCTGATGCATGAGTCACTGGCTTCTCAGGAAGGGCCAGCCGTACTCATACTGTCAGCTTGGCGGCCATGACTTTATCAAGCTTCACATTTGAAACAGAAATGAGTCAGTCTGAACTGCCTGTAAATTTTGTAGTAAGTACTGTCATTCTCGTATCTCTTTTGTGAACCTACTGTACACTTCCCAACAATTAAGGCCCCGATATACTTCAAACAAAATCGAAGAACAAACTGATGTGACATCATATCAAACAAAATCATGCCAAAACGAAGTTTGTTTTGTTTTCGTTTTGGGAGTTCGAAACGGCTTGCCAAAGCGAACTCTCCTGAAAAGTTCGCTCCAGCTGCAAAACACCTTCGTACTGCCATTGGTCTGTGATAACGTAATAGGAGGTGTGTGCTGAGGCCCCGCCTTCTTTCATGCGAAACTCTTTTCTGGCTCGTTTCATCTGTTGAGTCAGTCGAGGTAAGATCTCCATGAGTGAAAACATGAATACACTGGAGAACCGCTTTATAGTAAAAAGTGAAGTTGTGCTTCTGATGAAATGAGACACTGACACTGTTTTTCATGTTTGATACTGTAAAGCTGCCTAGTTTGAAGCAATCTATTGAATAAAATGCCATAAATATACATGACGTGACTTTACTGGAGTGCTACTTTGCAGAGCTCATACTCTAACATACCCATGTTGCTATGATCAGACGCTTTTCTCATGCTTTTTATTTAAAAAAATGCATGCTGTTTTCTCATTTTTATTGTGTTTATTTTGTTACTGAGAGGAAAGCGTGCAGCACATATTTACATATTCATCTAAACGATGCTTTCGGCAGTGTGGGCGGCGTCGGGATGTTCGCTAACAGTGTATCGCTGCTTACGTATTCGAACTTCGTTTTACGCCTAAACGAAGAACGAAAAAGAACTTTGCTGTGAGTATATCGGGCCCTTTAGTCACTTTTTCTCAGTAATGCAATGGTTTACCACAATCCTGTGACATCACACTTGTGGCACGTCTGAGAATTCAGCCAGTTCAGATAAACTTTCAATATGTATCCAATGGAGCCTCATCAAACAATGGTTTAACTGCAGGGTCAGATCACAAAGTTATCATCTAAATACTTGACTGTTAGTGTAGAAAAAACTCCAGTGCATTTATTGACCACACAATGTCTCAGAAATGTAGTAATAGTCGCTGTTAGAGTTGGGACTTGTGTTTCTCTCAGCCAGCCAGCCCTGATTGCTGTAAGATAACCAGTGCAAATGAATTCATACTAAGCTGTTTTACCATTGATCACTTTATTTTCTCTATTTGTGGTACAAAGCAGCTAACAAAACAAGAGAACATGCAGGTTATTCTTGTCGCTTAAATGTTCAGGACAGAATTTGAATTGTTATATATGTCTGTATACATGGAAATATTAATGATATATAATATCATATCATATAATATAATATAATTATAACCATGGCCATTCCTAATGGAAAAAACTAAACAAACAAAAAAAACATCTTAGACCAGCCTAAGGTGATTTGCTGGTCTTACCTGGTCTGTTGCTGGTTTTAGATGTGTTTTGGCCACTTTAGTCAGGGAAACCAGTAAACCAGCTGAAGACCAGCTTAGATTAGAGCAATTTAATTGAGCAAAGAATGGCTTAGGCTAGTTTAAACAGGTTTTCAGCACAGATTGAGGACATTAGTGGGCCTCATTCTTCGCAACAACGTTCCTAGTTGTTCCTCGACGCCAGTCACCCTGTTAAAGACTTAA